TGGTTTTTAGCATGTACAACATATTCCCTCCTGCCCCTACTACACTTTTACAATGATTAAGGTTAACTTTTTTGTGTCTTAGATACTACACACATTAGATTTCCCATTAAAGGAACCTCTACAGTATATTTCAGGATAAACAAAATGGAAGAAGGATGGATTGAGTGAGTTCAAGAGTTCTGTTAGGCAGATTTTATTACGCTTGGACAAAGCCAGCTTGCTGTTTCCAGATTCTAATACTATACTATGCGCTAACCAGTTGCTGGTGGTTCATTTATTTTAACTTCATAAAGATTTTAGTAACGTCATAATAAAAGAATGCATAATTTAATTTTATATATATATATTATATATATATATATATTAGTGTAATGACAAAACTATCACGACAAAAACTAATATTGCTTTAATTTTGTTAACACAATACATTAAAAGAAGAGTGTGCAGGACACTTTCACAGCAGTTTATGTCCCTAATGTCCCAACTTAAAGTAATCAGTTTGTGTGAACTGGGTAGGTAGAATTTTGTTACCGTTGGACAGAGCCAGCCAGTCTTTATGCTAAGCTACAAACATGAGAACAATATAAATTTCCTCATGTAACTCCCGACAAGAAAGCAAATAAGCCTATTTTCCCCGAAAATGTCAAACTACTCTCTAAGTGTAACGTCTTACCCACTTGTCAACAACAGGAATACCAGAAGGAATTTCCAGATATTCCCATTGGGTATTCCGGCCACGAGTCTGGGATCAGTATTTCAGTTGCTGCCGTAGCTCTGGGGGCAAAGGTCATCGAGCGTCATATAACCTTGGACAAGACATGGAAAGGAAGTGACCACGCCGCCTCGCTGGAGCCCTCCGAGCTGACCGAGCTGGTTCGTTCCATCCGACTGGTGGAGAGGGCGATGGGGAGCGGCCTCAAGAAGATGTTAGCTTGTGAGAAGCCATGCCATGATAAAGTGAGTTGTTTAGATTAGCTTATTAATTGATTTGTTAGGGACAGTGCATGTTAATAAACATTGCTGCATATATGCCAGAATTAACTGTAGTCCCTGACCAGGTGTAATATCGGTTGATATCCAAAATAAATGATAAATAATATTACAATTTGTAATTTAACTAATGTCCCTCTCCTCTTGCTGTCTAATCCAGCTGGGTAAGTCAGTGGTGGCCAAAGTCAAGATCCCCAGAGGAACTGTCCTGACTCTGGACATGTTGACAGTGAAGGTGGCCGAGCCCATGGGCGTCGTGGCCGAGGACATCTTCCAGCTGGTCGGTAAGAGCGTGACGGAGGACGTGGAGCAGGACGAGAGCGTCGCGCCAGAAGTAGTGGACAGCTACGGCAAGAAAGCCAAGTGCTGAGGGTGGCACAGAGTTTAGAAATGGGTAATAAAAAGGCACTTAATTTGAGAGGAGACGAGATCGATTCCTCTGGGGGTTTTTGGGAAGGAGCTCAGTATGACACAGGCACGCGTGTCATGGTAATTTTGTTTGGTGCTGCTCAGATATCTGAAGTTATGGACGATCAGTAACTTGTATAATTGGACAGGGCATTGATGTTATAGTTTCAAAGCTCAAAGGGAAAGCTCAAATAACTCATTCGACCCCTTTGTTTTTCTTTGCCAAAGACTTTTTAATTTTCTAAAAGTCGCCTTAATGTAACTCACTAAACTTTCGGCAATCAGGCTCTTTCATTAAACCCACTAATATCTCCCCAGAGGCTCAGTAGTAGTTTCAGCTCTATAGTCAGTACTAGTGCAGTGCTTTCTGAGGTGGCACAAAAGCCAGTTGTTACTGATAACTAAACATTGCACTATAGTTTTAGCCTGTACTTAAGAGATTGAATAAATACTGAGCACATGAAGCTGCTACTTGTCATCTCATCACACAACCTTGAGATCACAGAGCCTATTTGCCAAACAGTCAGTGTGCTCTTCTTGTACCATTGAGCTGTCAAGATTGTCAACTGGTGCCAGGATATTTAGTTTGCGGTGTAAGGCAGGGTTTGTGTTTGTAGTCAGTAAGTAAAGCTGCTGGAGCCAGATGCATAAAACTGTGCACACATTGTCCCACTCTCACAGTCAACCTTGTTTTTGTCATAAACCATACTCTTTCTGTCTTTGTTCTGGCACCAACAGCGTCTTCTAATTGTGCTCTCAGGATGAAGGATGATAACACATGTATAAATGTGGAAATCTCTTCAGACTGTTGAAATCTAAGAATTAAGATGTTCTGAAAAGATGAAACCTCCAAATAAAATATTCCTCAAATTCCCTCTTTGATGTTTTTCATCTTTTTGCAACAATATTTTGGTGTTTGGCTGGAGTTAAGCATGCAAGTCCTTATTGTCATCACAGGTTCTTTATATTGTAATATTGTAGTATAAAGTAATGTATACTGTATTATAACAGTGTAGGGTTTGCAAAGAGGTGTGTGCATTGTTTTAGGCCTAGAACGGTTTAGTTTTGATGGATCAGTTATCTGTGAGGGTATGAAGTGATATATGCTTTACCATCCACATTGAAAATACTTATGAAAATATATACTTGGAAGCAAATAAACAGTCTTTACATTACTTATTTCTGCTAGAATTCAACATTTTCTTTCCTTTCAAAGTGCATTAGACAGGCCCTGTGTTGCAGTTTACACATGAAACAGACGTCTTCCTTCTTTTATTGTTATGGTCAAAATCTGCACCTTTCATTTTTTTTCTATTAAAAATTTAAGAAAATATAATTCCCAAGGACTTTTCAGATCTTTTTTTTATTATTTAAAATATTATACACCACAGGCACTCCAATGGAAAAACACAACTTTTGTAATCTGATGTTCTGAAGTCAAATGAGTCCGCTGCAAATTTTCTATAAACACCATCTGCAGATTAGGGAACGTGTTTGTTATTGCAGGTGCTAAAGGTTACATGGATTATGTTGTCTCACTCAAAGCACACCGAGTGCCTTTAGATACAATGAACCAAAAGAGATTTAACATTTGTTAGTGCTTCAACTCTTAACGCTGCTCAGTTTAGAAACATAGTTAGAAAGAATGATAACAGAAAGATCCTTAAACATTTGGTGAATTAGTACTTCTCAAACACTAGAATCACAGAATGCTGCATGATAATGTCCCTCTGTGTGTTTCAGCTCCCTGCCAACAAAATATACATTTTGGTATGTTATTGAAAGATTTTTGGCAATTTGTTTCTGACTACAAAAAGAAGTAGTGTTGTACTTGAAACACTAGATGGGGCTGTTTCTCTATTGTCCTTTATCGTTAACACAAATTGAATTTACCCAAGCAACATTTCCAACCCATGGATGACTGTGACAAAATCCAGAATGGGAATTTTTGTGAGTCCATCCAGCCAGTATTAGTGACATTAATGTTAATTAATTATGTCCTATAATAATGTCCTAAACATGAAAAACTCTACATCTTGTTTGACAGACAATGATCAGATCACAGATCACAAACTATTTAATATTATTTAGTTTTTTTTCTTTTTTTTTTTTTCTTAAATGGTTGTTTTTCCACCTCTAGTTTTATGGTGATATGTGCTGGCGGTAAAAGGTGGAGGTAATTAAAACTAATGAACTGCAAGAGTTGTCCCTCCACCAGCCATCTGAGCTACTGATATCATGATCCTCTTCACAGGACAGGTTAACAGAACTTTATCTGTAACATGAAGATGATACAGAGAGCTGTGAGCCGGACAAACTAACATTTACCTCCTGTTGCTGACAGAAATCGGACAAGAAACACTCGCTCCAGCTGCATCTTAAAATACAAAATGTGTCAGCTGTCAAACAGGAAACAGGTGCAGTTCTCCTGCACTGAACTTCAGTTGGGTGCTAAAAAAACGAAAAAAGCAAAACAGCAATGAAGCTATCTGTTATGGTCTAATGATTTGACAGTGAGTTTAACATTTTATTTTCTTATTACTAACTTCAATATGATATTTTAGAAATATTCTTAAAATATATATTTTTTCTCTTATCAATCTGCTACTTCATGACTTAATCCATCTTTGCATTAGTTTGAATTTATCACATCATATAGTGTTTATTCGACAGAAAGTGTATGATTTTTCTCTCATATAATATCAGGACTGTCAGTTTGTGCCTCCTACAGAGGCGTTCCTTATAATGGAAGACAGATTGTTCTGCCAGCTGTACAACATATACATATGCCACACATACAAGAACATGCACATAAGCACTGCAGCATTATCAGTCATTACTGCCAGCTTACCCCTGTGAAACTGAAGCCCTTTTTCTTTTATCTAGACACCTGCTTCTATCTGTAACTTAAACCTTAGATACAGATAGATTTAAAAAGAAAACATAAATTTTAATCAACCATTAGCTAAGCCCCTTCCCCAAACAACTAACTGCAACTGGGTGTGACAGGCCTGTGAAGGCAAGTGTTTTTTTTTTAATGGTTTTTTATAAGGTGCCTGTAATAGGGTATGTACTTAACACAAACTTATTTGTTCTTCGACATAAAATCAGTCAGTAAATATCTCACCCAAAAAATTTTGAAGCTTTTACGTGTCTTAAAAAGGCAGTTGCTAACAAGTGGCTAAATGACTACAAAGGTTGTCAGGGATATTAAATGTCTGCACGCCAATCAAAGTCGATAAGGAGACTTATCTACTCTAATGTTAATAAGATTTAATTACAAGTTGGAAGTTTAGTGGTGGTGACATTGATGTCATGTGACTGAGGTGTAGTTTGTTTATAGCCTAATTAACTTAAAATGAGCCCTTTTTATCTACAGCCGCTATGGGTTGCCTTCCTAGGAGTCTGCTATTTCTACAGTAGCCCAGAACAGACAAAACAAACACTTGGGCCTTTTGGGTTTTTTGCAAGTTTTGTGGCCACTGTAGTTTCTCTTACACTCTTCCCAGCCCATTCTCATTCCCAGGTTGTCAAATACAAATGCAAGTGGTGTTCTGTTACTTCATATTCTCAAAGCCTTTTCTTTTGAAATTTCAAAAGCAGTGTTGAACAATATGAACAATAAAGCAGAATTTAGTTAAAAAGATGTTCTGTTGCTTGTCCAAGTAAGCTAAGCACCCACAGTGACCAAGCTAATTAGCTCTACACTGCAATACTAGAGATGTTGTTTCTTTATTTTCACCATCATGGATCTTCAACTGGTGAGTACGCCGACCTTTTTGCTTACTTTTGAAGTGGTAAATCCGCCACCATTATCATAGACCTTTTTCACAGCAACCATTTTGACATAAAATAGTAGAGCAATGATACTAGTTAAGGTTCAGTTCCATTCAGGTCAAACAGAGTCAGGATGCTGCTATTGTGCATGATGGCTCCCTGGAGAGGCTCTGCTACACTAAATGGAACGAAACCTTAATTAGTATCATTGGTAACACCTGTGATTATCCTACTATTGCATGTCAAACTTGCTCCTGTGAAAAAGTTTGTACTTGACAGGCATAGCAACAGTAACCAGGGGGCAGGGCTAAGTGAACTGTCAGTTACCTTGAGAGGAGGCAAATTCTATTCTCACTCTCTCTCTAACTCATATATAACTGCACAGCTATTTCAGGCACAGGCTTCATCCAATAAGCTCCTGCTGATCCCAGTTTCACAGAGGAACATGATTCTGTCTCACTTTTCTCTGCCTGGCCTACTACTGAAACAAGTGAGCCTAAAAATCTACCAAATGACCCCATCATGCAAATAACTATCTGATGCAAAATCAAGTTTTTAATCCAGGACTCTCTTCGGCAAAATTGGGCTAATGTTTGTGCTCACTTGTAATTAGTCTCCTCCTCTCTGCGGTAACTCGAGCTATCTCAAAGACGATTTATTTTTTGTAAGAGAAGAGCATAAACTTGACCTGAAAGAGCTACCAAATGTCTAGTTTCCTGCCAAGGGACTTATTTTTATTGCAAGTTCTGCAGGCGATGTACTTCTGCCGTACCAGAAAGAGGGTTAGGTTAGCTTGGTTGCTTGGTTATGTAACAAGTTTAGCCTTTTCAGGACTTAATATAGCAGCCATGGTCTGAATACAGCAGTCTTACTGAGGTCAACAGCTTGGTGTCACTTCAGGCTGTGGAATTGCCTCGTTTTATAGTATGGAAATATAGACTGTACTAAATATAGAGAGGACACAACATCCTATCACACGCACATTTTCTTTGTATTTTCTCTGGTTCCGTTGTGTAAGATTGTCCCACAGAGTCCAGAGTCCACCTGGACATACAGCCAGAAAGAAAGCTGAAACTGCATCATCCTCTGTGCAGAATCTTTAAAAAAGGTTATTATAGCTAACTAAAACCAAACAAAAACCTAAAACTTGGTGTGAATATTTTTTTAGTTAACTGAAAAAAAATCTAGACTTTAGAAAAAAAGACAAAGATTGATAGAGACAGAAATGATAATGTACTAACTAAAATCAAATTCAAATATTTAGTTAATGACTTTTGTCAATTTGATCAAATTTGTCAAGCACGTTGTAGCGGTGCTGTGTTTCTATAAGCCCTATCAAATATCCCCTCTATTATAATTTAAAAAATCTCCCCATGGAACTAAACTGAATTAAAAACCAAAATTTTAAATAAAGTTAAAATTAAAAACAGATGGAAAAAAAAAAATGAATAACTGGTTCCAAAAGGTTACGGGAAAGTTAGTGGTCCACTCCATTAAAAGTATGCTTGTGTTTAATTGGCTACTAACAGTAGGAGGTTGGAAACAATGGATTTCTATTTCTAATCTTCTAGTTAGTTATATTAATTGTTTTGGCTTTTATAAAACTACACTTGTCAAATCTTCTCTCTCGCTCTCTCTTTCT